CTTTCCTTCTCTATCACCCCTATTGGCAAACAAACATGGTACAACAGCTTCCACCTTTAAAAAAAAAAAAATTATCTTGCCACTATTCCATTTCTCTCTTTGGGGGCAAAATTTCTTCAAAATACTTCTCTACTCTGTCTTATTTCCTCTTCTCCCCACAACTCCACCAAAAATCAGAAATCACTATTGCTAAAGTCACCAAAGTTTCCCATGTCGCTAAATCCAGATCTATTCTCTGTCTTCATTTTCCTTGAACTGTCAGTAGCATTTGACCCAGGTGATAATGCCTCCTGGGTGAAACAATTCCTTTCCTTGTTTCCAGGAAGATCAGTACTCTATTTATCTCTTATGTCTCTGGTCATGTCATCTTATATTGTCCTTCCAGATTTTCACATCTTCCCAGATCTGTCCCAGAGCTCAATCCTTTGATCTCCTTTCTCTCTAAACTCGTTTTAATTTCATTTATGCACTAATATCTCCCAAATGTTTACTTCCAGTTTGCATATCTAATTGCCAACTCCTATTTTCGGCAAGCCCCATATAGCCTTCCTAACCTGTGTAGTAGGCAACTTTATCCTTCTAGATGCTCAGCCAGAAACCTTGGAGACCTTTTGGACTACTCTTTCTGTCACAAAACACATCCAAGTCATAAACAAAACTTATTGGCTCCAACTTTAGATTTATTCAGAATCCAACCACTTGCACTGCTGCCACCCTAGTGCAAGCCACCACTGTCTTTTGCCTAGATTATTGTAATTGCCCTCTTCTGGGTTTCCTTATGTCTGCCCTTATTTCCCTACAGAGTAGTGTATTTTTAATGTATCAGCCAGTGAGATATTTTTTAAAATGTAAATCAGGTTCTCCCTCCTGCTTGGAATTCTCCAATTTCTTCTTATCTCAAATAAAGGCCAAAGTCTTTAGAATGGTCAACAAAGCCCTACATGACCTGCTCCCCAACCCCACTACCTCACTGTCCTCATCTCTTCCTATTCACTTTGTTCAAGCTGCACTAATATCTTTACTGTTCAGACTTGCCAAGCATGTTCCTTCTTCAGGGCTTTTGCACTAGCTGTTCCCAGGTACTTTAGTATTGAAGGGCTGCCCTAGGTCACGTTATTAAATATTCTGGCATTCAGTTTTGCATCAGTCCATCTTGGGGACTGTATTTGGGTTTCCTGTAAGATTCGAGGGGATAGAGACAGAACTATAGTAAAAATAAAATTCCCCTCTCGTTTCTTTTTCAAAATTTAGCCTACTGACATCTTTCTCAGGTGAATGAATCAAGTACAAAAGGTCCATGCCAGTAAAACTTTCTTTAAAGGCAAATTTCAGTGCATTATTCCATACCTGAGTAATCAGACATGACAGAAATGATCCATTTTGAATCTCAAATGTGAGGTGAATAAAAGTCATTCTGAATGAAACATACAGGTTTTCTTAGCAGAGAGAAAGATGTGTCTCTAATGCAAATAACAGAGATGTTATATGAAGAGCACAACAACATAGATTTGAAAAGTTTCCACCTGTTCTAACCTAGATGCATTCTGCAGTTAATCTTGAAGAAATTATGAACACTTAGACCCTCTTTTTAAAGATAGGTAAGCGGGTCTATAGAGTGTGGCACAGCAAAATGGTCACAGAGCGGGGCTAGAGTTGGACTTTTGATGCCCATCCCATTCAAGGCCTTAGTGTGCTTAGCTATGCTGCAGTGTATTCTTCATCTTTTCATCTTTTTTGTGGTGGAGTAGTATTCCATGGTGTATATATGCCACATTTTGTTTAGGCTTTGTGAACCAAAAATAGCCCACTCACATATTGTGTGTGTTTATTCTTTAAAAATGTAAAAATCATTCTTAGCTTAAGAACTGTAAAAAAAAATAGCTCTGACTGCAGTTTGCTAACCCCTACCCTAGTAGAATGCTCAAAAAGAGCTCATGGAAACAATATTTCAGTTTTCCTGGATGTAAAATCCTTGTCTCACATTTTCTTTCCTTAGATATTTTCAATACATTACCTCATTTTCTTCTGGCAAAACACTGCGGTTGAAGTCTGATGATACTACAGTTTTATCTTCCTTATAAGTTACTTGCTGTTTTTGCCTAGATTCCTAAGGGAGTTTTTCTTTACAGTCCCGTTGGTGTTGGGTTGATACTCTCAGGTATGCAATGTGTTTTTTTTTAATATCTAGTTTTCAAGTATTGTTTTGTTTTTAAAGATGTTCATGATTTATAGTTTTTGGTACTTATTTTGTTCCCTTGCATAGGTTTTTATCTACAAGAACTAGTATATATATATATTGGATCTTCTTTGCTTATTTTCAATATTTGCCACTTTCTTGCAAATCCTTTTTGTCCTTTTTTATTACTAATTCTTTTTGGTGCCTCATTTCTGAGTTTTCTAATTCTGATTTAGGCATTCTTTCATGTCAATGTATCATTTTCTTAATGATTTTTAGCCCACTTTGCAATAGGGTACCACCATTTGATTTGCTTTCTGGGCATGTCTTTCTGGTTTGCTTTCATTGTCTGAATGACATTGTTCTGTTTCTTATTCTCTTTATGTGAAATTGATTTTCTTAAGTGTTTAGAAGGAAGTATGGTTTTCCTGACTTCACATAACTAACTCCTCAAGCATTGGACTCCTATTAGTCACTACCACCCTCTTCTTCACAATCATCTTTGCATAGTGCTTGCTTCTTTTTTTTTTTTTTGGCGGTTGGCCAGTACAGGGATCGAACCCTGGATCTTGGTGTTCTCAGCACCATGCTGTAACTAACTGAGCTAACTGACCAGCCAAGCACTTGCTTTTTATCACAGTAACCACCCCAAAATTCAGCTTGGCCAAGATACAATGTCATCAAAAGGAATGTAGAGCAGTCCTGTTGAAACTGAATTCTACATCAAGCTAGTAGTTTGCCTGAAGCCTGACAGTTGTCAAATATCACTGTTTATTTCAAGTTGAAAATATACCATGATGCCCCTAGGAATTTGCTGTGGTGCCGTGGGACACCTTGGCACACAGCTTGGGGATCACGATCCTGGCTTATGCTGATGCTGCTGATCTGGAGACCACACGTGAAAACCATTAGGACATTTAACTGTTTATTTTAAAAACCAGAAGTAAAAGAATAAAGGCTTTCAAAGTTGTACTGCCAACCAAGAAGAAAATTTCTTTCTGTAGACCCATATACTCAGAAAGGCATGTAAAGCAATTAAAATGAATTTAAAATATTGAAATCAAAGAGTTTGGAAACAGTTGTGCATGTGTGTTTGTGGGTGAGCACACTTGCTTGCAGATGCACGTACTACACCTGAATGTACGCTAGGAAAATCAGCGTGTGTTTCTTTGCCTTAGTCTCTAGTTTTCTTACTGGGAGGAAACAAACTACTTTGATTAGAGGAAAAGGAGCAAAAGAGAGCATGTTTGCATGCTTATTGGCCTTGATGTTCAAGGACAGTTGGTGATGACTATTTGAATTTGCTTCGTGACCTGCAACAGTGAATTTGATTGACAGCTACTTTGAGATGTGGTTGATCAGCTTGCCAAATTTTATAAAGAAAACTTTATGGGGCCGGCCCAGTGGCGCACTGCTACAGTGCGCCGCTTGGGAGTGCGGCGGCCCTCCCGCCAAGGGTTCGAATCCCACATACAGACTGGCCGCTCACTGGCTGAGCGAGGTGCGGGTGCAACACTGAGGGTTGCGATCCCGTTGCCGGTCCCGGTCCGGTACGGGCGCGACACTGAGGGTTGCAATCCATTGCCGGTCACAAAAAAAGACAAAAAGGAAAAAAAAAAAAAAGAAAACTTTATAAAATATTTACATTTATATTTATAAAGTGCTTATATTTTATAAAGAAAACTTTGTGTCTTTTGAGAGAGGACAAGAATATGGATATGGTAGGCAAATCCAGCTTGGTACCAAGATTCGTCATGCACAGAATCTTGGATCTCTCCAGGTAAAAGAGAAAATATGGTTGACCTCTTAAAGAGCAATCAACTGCTTTCAAGCAAATTGACAAGTACAACTTCTCTCATGCTAATTAGTTGAAGATTGTGCTCAGTAGGAATTATAATCTATTAAGATAAAAAGCAAAGCAATAGAAAATGCTCGTGAAGACAATGTAATCAGTGCTTCCTGTGCCTTTCCTCACTCATTCTTTTCAGGATCCCAGGAAATGTGGGCAAAGTCATGAGAACATGGTGTCCTGGATGGAAACTATGGCTGAACAAAAATCAACTGTTTACCCCCCAGCCCTTTTCTGGATTTTTAAAAATCCAGCAATTGATTTAGATTAGAATCTACTGCTCACTCATGTTCACACAGTTCTACAGAAATTTCAAGCCCTGATTTACACTTAACACTTAAAAGATTTAATCTAGCCATTACTTTCCACAGCAGAGGGATCCATAAGATGACATAACCAGGGGAGCAACCTGCTACAACCTTCTTGCTTCCTGAGGATTAACATTGGCTTTCTAACATTTGACTCTTTACAAACTAGCCTTTAAGTTCTTATTAACATGTATAGAAAAAAGAATGTGGATTTTGTTAAACCATGCTTTTATAGTAAGACTGAGTTTATAAAGACAAGTCCTGACTAGAAGAGGCCATGGAGATCAAGACAGTTCTTCATTAAAAGAATTGGTTATCTTCATTAATCAGAGACTTTGTTTGTTTAGGTGGGTGGCCAGTTCAGGGATCCCTGACCTTAGTATTATAACACATAACACTGTGCTCTAACCAGCTGAACTAAATGGCCAGCCCCAGAGATTAGTTTTAACTGTAGTATTTAAATTACCTGTCCTAGTAGAAAGCTAAAACGGGAAACTCCTTTAATCTACCTCAGTAGAAATGGCTTAATACATGAATATGGCAAAATTGCCCTAAGTTGAACTCCTGGTTTCTATGGGCAGCAAATGCTTTATCTTACAATTGAGCTGGGTGAGAAAGTCAGGAAGATGAGCTAAATGTGTAATTGTGCTTTCTTTCCTTTAGTGTGTTCCATGGGAAACGGTACGAGCAGACTCTATAGTGCTCTCGCCAAGACACTGAACAGCAGCACAGCCTCCCAGCACCCAGAGTATTTGGTGTCACCTGACCCAGAACATCTGGAGCCCATTGATCCTAAAGAGCTTCTTGAGGAATGCAGGGCTGTTCTGCATACTCGACCTCCCCGGTTCCAGAGGGATTTTGTGGACCTGAGGACAGATTGCCTCAGTAGCCACCCACCTATTAGGGTCATGCAGTGGAACATCCTCGCACAAGGTATACCTGATGCTTTTATGTGAGAGTGGTTGTTTGCTGTGACTTCCTTTCTGCTTCTGCACATGTCCAATGCACTGATGTCTTGATGTCTTATGTGGAGGGAAGAGGCGTGGGCAGATGGAGGAAGTATAGAATGGGGCAACTATGGCAGCATGAGGAGCTCTCCCAGAAGGGGAGGCTAGGAAAGGAAGTCATCTGGTTTTCACTAATAAAGCCAGCAACTCAAGACTTATTCTTTACCTTCCATGTTTGTGGGCTATCCGAGAACAATGAAAGTCTGCTTCCCAGCAGATCCAAATTTAAAGGACCCTATCTTTTATTAGACAATTCAATGGAACAGCCTCAAACTTTGTTGCCTCCAGCCTCAGTCCACTACTAAGATTTGCAGGGGAGAAACTGAATGGGTAACATATAGAACTGCAGGGAATGGCAACTATGTGGAGGTAGTGGTGTCAAGGTATTCTTGTGCCAAATTCTCAGCCATACTCATCTATATAACTTGGGACCAAAAAGATCTTGCTTCATTTCTCTGTTCATTAAGATATTACTTTGTGGGCCGGCCCGGTGGCGCACTCGGTAGAGTGTGCGCTTGGGAGCGTGGCGGCGCTCCCGCCGAGGGTTCGGAGCGGGTTCAGATCCCATACAGAGACCGGTATGGGATCTGGTTGAGCGCAGTGCAGGCGCGACACCGAGGGTTGCGATCCCGATGCCGGTCGCGGTACGGGCGCAACACCGAGGGTTGCGATCCCATTACTGGTCACGAAAAAAGACAAAAAGATGCCGGTCGCGGTACAGGCGCAACACCGAGGGTTGCGATCCCATTACTGGTCACGAAAAAAGACAAAAAGGAAAAAAAAAAGATATTACTTTGTTATGGTAGAAAGGACTCCTTTCCTGGGTCTGCTAAATTGAACAGATGCACCAATATACTTTCTGTAGCATTGCCTTTTATGTAGCAGTTGAAATTTTAAGAAAAAGAAACAAGGGCTTATTTATTTGTTTGTTTATTTATGCATGCATGCTGGAAAAGAAGGTCCTACTCCCCGACTTATCAATCTCTGATTCTTTTATTTTTCTGGAAGCTTGTCCATAAGTGAGAAAAGCTGCCCATTTAAAATAGGTCCCATTTATTCATAGTAGTATCTATTTATATCAATTCACATGGCTTTATTATAATCAGTGTTAAAACTTTGTATATAGAGTTAAATAAATTCATTTCATTTAACACAGTTTATTTTTTTATTTTTTTCTAACACAGTTTAGATCCCTAGGACTGTACAGAACAGTTTCCGTAATTAAGGCTAAATCTAAAGATCTTATATCCTGGACTGTAGTTATATGAAATAGTTTCACTACAAAAGAAAATCAGTTGCTTGCTTCATCCACATGGTAAGAGATTATGTAGTTTGGGTGGGTTAATGTAGTTTAGATAGCAAAGAACGACCCAAAGAATCTGAAGCAGAAGAAGCATTCTGAGTAGTGCCAAACCTAAGGAGACTCTTGGGTACTTTGAAGTCATTGTTCTGTAGTAGCTGACAACTGGCTGCCTTTTTCTTTTCAGCTCTTGGAGAAGGCAAAGACAACTTTGTACAGTGCCCCATTGAAGCACTCAAGTGGGAAGAAAGGAAATGTCTCATTCTAGAAGAAATCTTAGCCTACCAGCCTGATATATTGTGCCTTCAAGAGGTGGACCACTATTTTGACACCTTCCAACCACTCCTCAGTAGACTGGGCTATCAAGGCACATTTTTCCCCAAGCCCTGGTCACCTTGTCTAGATGTAGAACACAATAATGGACCAGATGGCTGTGCCTTATTTTTTCTTCAAACCCGATTCAAGCTAGTCAACAGTGCCAATATTAGGCTGACAGCTATGACATTAAAAACCAATCAGGTGGCCATTGCACAGACCCTAGAGTGCAAGGAGTCAGGCCGACAGTTCTGCATTGCTGTCACCCACTTAAAAGCACGCACTGGCTGGGAGTGGTTTCGATCAGCTCAAGGCTGTGACCTTCTCCAGAACCTGCAGAAGATCACCCAAGGAGCCAAGATTCCTCTTATTGTTTGTGGGGACTTCAATGCAGAACCAACAGAAGAGGTCTACAAACATTTTGCTTCTTCCAGTCTCAACCTGAACAGCGCCTACAAGCTGCTGAGTGCTGATGGGCAGTCAGAACCTCCATATACTACCTGGAAGATCCGGACCTCAGGGGAGTGCCGGCACACCCTGGATTATATCTGGTATTCTAAACATGCCCTGAGTGTAAGGTCAGCCCTTGATTTGCTCACCGAAGAACAGATTGGACCCAACCGGCTACCATCCTTCAATTATCCTTCAGACCACCTGTCCCTAGTGTGTGACTTCAGCTTCAATGAGGAACCTGATGAACTTTTATAAACACTTGTCTGGGTCTTTTTAATCACAATAGTCTTAACCAGGGATGGTTCAGGAAACAAATACAGAATAAGAAATTGCCTGAGAAAGGATTCCATTTCTGTCACTTCACTTTCCATGTGTGCATCATGCCCTTAGGAAAGAATCTCATTAGTTCACAAACCTTTTCAATTAAAACCTATAGCAAAGGTGTTTGCACTCCATTTTTGGCTTGTATTGTTTCCTTTCCAGTAGCATTACCTTTTGATCATTTAAGGGCATTAAATTAGGCTTGTTTTGAATCTCTTTCAGTTTGAGGATGCTATAAAAACTCAGACTTGGTTGAGTCCTCCATAATTAACAATAAGTATGTAGGAGCAATTTCTCTAGATAGCATTTCAAGTTATTTATTGGTGGGTTTTTAAAATGTCAATAAGAAATGCATGCCAATATTTATTTTTTATATCTTCATGTAAAATTAAGTAAATGAATTACAGTATTATGAGCATTTTAGAACCATGCAAAACTCAAGTTATAAAGTATTTTATAATTTTCTTAAAGCTTTAAAATGTTTTCACCTGGGGTCTAAACAAAATGTGTACAAAAGAACTGTTTAGCCTGCAGGGGGTTTTGTTATTTAAGTATCAGATCTCCTTGATACATTCTTCTTAAATAATCCTTGCTGTGCCTCCATGTTCCCATTAGTGTGTATCTTGAAGAGATTCCAATTATTTAATCAATTAGTTTTCATTATTTAATCACTATTATGCATTTATACTTTTCCATTGGAATAACGTTGGTAGACATTTGAGGTCACTCAATATCATTATTTGTATTGGAATGTGCTTTTCACAATAGGTTATTTAGGAGTTGTTTTGTGGCAGTGACTAAGAAAATCAGTTGGACTTTGTTTTCAGAGATGTGAAACTTTCTAGAAAGCCTATTAACGGGCTGTCACTGAAATTTCCTAAGACAGCCAGAGATGACTGTGGTTCATACATCTAGAAAGAACAATGTAAAAAGTTAGGTAACCTAGAACTTTCCATCAGAAATAAAATTGGTAAAGATAACAGGTGAAGCCTCTTCCAAACAAAATAACCTATTGGTAATAAATTGATAAGTATTTTAATCCGTGAGTTGTAAATACTTAAGATTAATAAATGGTCTTTTAAAGCTAGTGCTTTTATTACCTTGTCATTTTAGTCCAAAAAGAATCTGGGAGTAGATTTGATTTTTTCATACTGTTATGTGGTGACCCACACTATCCATTTACACAAAAATTTTTAAAATGGACAAAAGCTGCATGTTAAAAGCATCTATGCTATGCTTATGTGGTATCTCGGCTGGAATTTCCCAAAGTAGGCCACCCAAATATTCTGCGGCAGTATCACTTTGTAAACAAATGATTTGTTTCCAGTAACACTGTATATACAAAATCTTGGGGCTACCTAGAAGGAATGGCAAGCAGGAAGAATATCTGTACCAATTATATTGGTTCAAATCTTAGCATGACCTATGGTAATCTTACATTGTTGAGAAACACACTGATGAAAATACTTGTTTGCCTACCCCAAAGTACACCAACCTGAAGAGAAATTATGATAGCCATAAGCAAGCAAATATGAATGAGAATGAAAGACAAAATAATGTTTGAATTTCAAGTGTTGTCCACCAATATATGAATACTGGATATAGGTCAAGGGTGAGGATATGGGTTGGTGGGAATGCCACGGTGCAAAAAGGCTTCTGGAAATACAAACACGAGATGTGACTACAAATTAAGGAGATGGGGGGAAATCCACAGTGAAACTCTCCATATGAGTTACCCTTTGGAGTTAGTTATGGCAGGAGACTGAACATTTATTTCAATGATGCTTTTGTTTGATGCTTTTGCATTTGTCTTCATTTAAAGTGTAATTATGTGAGCATTCTATTTAGGAATTTTTTAGTAGTTATGTAAATCTTATAGGGTTGCATTTTGCATTTTAACTTTATCTTAAGTCTTTCTTTGTAGACAGCTTTGCCTTATGGACTATGAGAGTAACCTGAAGGTAAAATGGTAAATAACAAATCTGTTCTACAGAACTAAATATAGATACCCTGCATAGATTTCTTTTATTCCATCCCTATGTACCTTTTGGTTCTGCTTTTCCTTTTATATCCTATATAATATTTTGACGTTAAAATAAAAGTAAATTGTGCAGATTAGAAGAAAGAGTGAGAGCAGCATGGACTTTTGCATCCTTCATGCCACATTTACGTAAATTCCATTCTACACGGTGGTAGTAATGACTGCCTCATTTATTTAAATAAAGCATTATGATATATACATAGGAAGAAATTATGAGTGAGAGCAGCATGGACTTTTGCATCCTTCATGCCACATTTACGTAAATTCCATTCTACACGGTCGTAGTAATGACTGCCTCATTTATTTAAATAAAGCATTATGATATATACATAGGAAGAAATTAACATTTGAGTTCCTTAACTTTGGCTCTGAGAGCCTTACATATGATCTTAAAACTACTCTTTATAGACAGTGGCTCCAAAGGTCAAAATTTAAGTAAAGTGACAATAGTAGCTAAGCCAGGACACAAATCCAGGTCTGTCCTGACTCCAAAATACTTGCTTCTTCCCCACGACCATGTTCCCTTGGCCTTGAGTGAGTATACATGGGTAGAAAAGTGATATTGTGGGAGAGCAAGAGATTTTTTAATGAAAAATTGTTAAACTAAGTCAAATACTTTTGTAGTACACATACAAAATAGAAGCAAGATATAGTGGATTTCAGTTTCGAGGATGAAGTCAAGTTTTGCAAAAAGTAGAATATATGATACCGTTTGCATACTTTGATGGTAGCTTTTTTGTAAAGGAAACAATAAGATCACTCTACCAGATTTAAAACTGAAGGAAGAAATTGATGCAAATATTCTGTATTCAAACCATTTTTAAAAACATCCAAGATTTGTAAGGAAATGTTGCATATAATTAGGTAAAGCCCTGAGACTTGAGGAGAGTTCCAAGATTTTCTAAAAAGAGAGATGAAATGAAAACATGCTCATAATCACAATTGATTTCAATTTTAGAAAAGGAAAGTCATCCAAAAAATGAACGTCCTTGCATAAGAGCTCTGCTGAACTATTTTTTTAATGACATGCACAAAAATACGGCACAGGCAGTCTTTTTATCTAGAGTGGATAGATACCAGCAGGAGATTTATTAAATGAAAAATGGCAAAGGCCTGGGCTTGAGTTTATAAAATAAGGGAAGGGGAAAAAAAAGGCAACATGTTGCAGGGCACAGGCTCTAAGCAGGAAAAAAAAAAAAAAGATTTAGCTGTAACCAGTGTGACCCTGAACAAATCACTCCATCTCTAGGGTCTCAGTTTTCTCAACCACAGAAGATCATCATCATTCCTGCCCTCTCGACCTCATAGATTTGTGAGATGTCTGTAAAATAATATTGTAAATTGTAATATAAAATATGTAGGTCACTGAATAATAATGCTTAAGGTTCAGAACAAGAAAGGAAAGGGCCCTGTACTTCATGTCATAATAACCTACTCCAAATTGTTGTTAGAGAATAACCCTTCAATTTGAAAGGGCAGAACCAATAGTGTTAATAGAAATTTAAGACCAAAATAGGTGAGGGGCTAATAGAATGGCAAGAAATTGGTTGGCTGCTTTTTCCCCCACTTGTCCCTCCTCTAGGCAGTCATGAGGTTGTGGGTTAATGAGGTTAGTTTCTTTAATTTCATAGGAAGTTGTCAATCCTACTTTGATTTGTAAAGAAGAAATATCTGCCTTTGAAGGACAGAAAACCCACAACTACAGGCCCTTGTTCTCCAGATTTCTTTGGAAAACTCTTCCGAGAAAACATTCACATAAGATTAAACATGTGGGGCCGGCCCAGTGGCACACTCGGTAGAGGGCGGCGCTCCCGCCGAGGGTTCGGATCCCATATACAGACCGGTCTGCTCACTGGTTGAGTGCGGTTTGGGCGCAACACCGAGGGTTGCGATCCCGTTGCCGGTCGTGGTACGGGCACGACACTGAGGGTTGCAATCCCGTTACCGATCACGAAAAAAGACAAAAAGGAAAAAAAAAAGATTAAACATGTGGACAAAGCCATTCCTCGACAGAATGCTAGGAAAAGCTTTGCTGCTTCTAATCATCTGGTAACTTGGACTATATGAATCTCAATTGATTTATCTTTTTTGCTTTGGCTGCTGAGACGTTCAAAACCAAAGTTTATAGCTGAATTTTAATTATTGTGTAACATTTTACAGCACGTATTCCGCGTATTTCTTTTGCCACCCTTTTTTCTTTGCTTAATTTTCTTTTGCCTCTGTTTTGTTGACTTTCATTTATGAGTATTCTTACAATATGTAAACTATCTGAAATTCTTTTACTAATAAAGCAGAGTACTGATTAAATTATCTTGCCACGTTAAACAGATTCAGGCTTCAACATCTAAACAGCTTGCACATAAAGAATGTGAAAAATATTCACAGTCCTGTATGTATACTATTGAAAGACCCTAATCAAGAAAAATGATGGAAGATTGGACATAGGGATTATGTCTGACATTTGATTCTGGTTTCCATAGATTGTTAAACCTAAAGAGAACACCCAGCAAAATTCCTTATCCCTCTTTTTTTGGGTGGGAGGGAGTGGGAGGAGTTGAAGCTAAAAACCAAACTGGGAGCCAGAGAAGTTGTGTGTGTAGGTCTGCCTGACTAGCTGAACCAATTCATGAGTCAAAAGTTTTCGTGAACTTCAGATTCTTTACTTGTAATAAAGGGAATAATCTCTAAGGTTTCTTAAAGGTTTCTTAAAACTCTAACGTGAACTTTAAAACTATTTGAGTTACTGCTGCCACTACTCAGAAATATTTGATAGTTTTTGGAACTGCTTCCATATGTTTTATGAAGCTCTCAAGAAAACTGGTGTGAACTTTATAGCCCCATCACATTTTGAACCAAATACCTACCTTGATTCACATTTTATTAACCTCAAATGAGTTGGCTAAAATCTTCAACAGGAAATTTGCCTCTATTATTAAGTATGTTTAAAATTTAGATTCTGCTCTAAGAAGCAATTCAAAAGTGTTTGGAATGATGGTAGCACTACTGGCATTAGTATATAGCTTTCCAAAGTAATTTGTTTGAATGGAAAAGGCACATTAACCTAGTATTCTGTTTCATAAGACTCAAAAGATTCATCCTACTTAAGGGCATGTTAAATGTGAGAAAAAGGCTTTAGAGTCAATAGAATATACAGTATGTAGATTTTTAAAGAGCTATCTGTAATGCTTAATAGCTCAAACTACCTTTTTCCATTGAACATTTAAAAACACTTAAATTAGGACATAGATGTCTAAATGCTAAAGCTTTCCTTATTGTAGCTGTAAGACAGTGGTCCTCAAACTTTAGTTCATAATGAAATCACTTAGAGATATTTTATAAATATTGATGGCTGGCTTCCACTCCCAAACATTGTAATTTGATTGGTGTGGAGTGTGACCTAGGCAGCAGGATTATTAAAAACTGCTCAGGAGATTCTAATGTGCAGCAAAGTTACCACTGTATTAAAGTGAATTAACATCCTATAACCTAGAAATAACTTGCAGATATGTAAAACAGTATTTCACCTTTTCAGACAGTGACAGTATCACTTCATTAAAGAAAGTCTGAAGGAGACAAAGTTTCCCAAAGTTAAACATACTACAGTGGGATGGGAGCAAACAATATTTTGGGAGAAAACTCCATCGTCTCCACTGTTAGTGTACAACCTAATTACAGTTCCTTTTAATTTTTTTCCCTTCACGTCAAATTAAAACAGGACTGTAAACACATCCATGCCACTTCCAAACCAGGAAAGAAGAGGACCTGTTTTTTAAAAAACCTGATTAGTTTAGTAAACAGGACAGCAGCAGTGGATTGCCTTGTGGGGCTGCTGAGTTATTTTTTGATATGGAGTATTTTGCATTGAATGATTGTTTTACTAGTATTGTGTTCCCACCTTGGAAGCTGTGACACATTTATCAGTATTACTTCTGAATTAGTGTTCAAAAAGAGAGTTATGAGTAAGTCTCAAGTAAGTCTTCCTGCTGCACTTGAGTTTTTCAAAGGTTTGGAAGTTTGAAGCAGATAGATAGGAGGCGTATCAGTGC